AATGTTTCAAAGTTGACAACCCTTGCTAGTTGGCGAATAACAAATAATGAACTGGATAGCTGTTTCTTAAGGTGTGAGATATGAGCAGACCAGTTGAGTCGATTATCTATGGTTATTCCCAATAGTTTAACAGTCTCTTTGTTAACTAGATCATTGTGTAAATTACTTGCAGATATAACCATATTTTGCGTTTTATCAGAATTAAGTTTTAGTTTGTTTGCAGCAAACCATGAGCTAGATTTAGTAGTAACTTCCTCATGAGACATTTTTAAATCATCATTATTTTTTCCTGATATAACGTATGTCGTATCATCTGCGAATTGTATGGTTTTGTACGGAGATATGAATTTAGGCAGATCGTTGACATAAATAATAAACAAAAGAGGTCCTAAGACCGAATCTTGTGGGACTCCATGTTTTACGGATAGAAAATCAGAGAGATGACCTTTAGACACTACCGCCTGGTGTCTGCCACATAGATAAGAAGTTATAAGCTTAAGAGGGATACCTCTGATTCCATAGTAATTTAATTTGTGGAGCAAAATGTCGTGTGAAACGCAGTCAAAAGCCGTTGATAAGTCACAAAGAGAAATTGCTATGCGATTGCCGCGTTCAAGCCCCTCAATCACCTCGCTCACAACATTAAATACCGCGTTCGTAGTAGAACGAGCACTTCTAAATCCATATTGTGAGTTGCTAAAGTAATTATTTGACTCAAAATAGGAATAAAGTTGTTGTTTGATAACCTTTTCAATCACTTTCCCAAAAGTAGAAACAATGCTTATGGGTCTGTAATTGTCAATTTTTGAGGAATCACCTTTTTTGTAGATTGGTAGTACTTTAGAGTATTTTAGTACTGCTGGAAATACTCCGGTGGATAGAATTAAATTAATAAGATGAGTAAAATGTGTTAAAACTATTTGGTAAGTTTCTTTTAAAATTTTGCTATTAATCTCGTGAACGTCCCTACAATTAGAATTACTAAGCTACTTTATTATTTGAGAGACCTCTTCTTCCAGAACGGGCCGAAAAAAAAATGACTTGCTCGGAGAAGGATAATTTCTATAATTGACGAGGACATCGATGTTAATGGAGGGAAGAGATGTAATTATATTCTCTGCAATTGTACTAAAAAATTGATTCATTTCGTCTGGAGGTAGATCAGGTTGTACCGAACTGGATTTAGTGTAGTTTCTTTCGAAATTTACTATTTTCCAGCAGTCTCTAGGTTTATTATTGGAATTAGTAATAAAATTACAGTAAGCTGACTTTTTAGCAATTTTTAATTGCCGACTATATTCAACTTTTTGTTGTTTATATACTTTGAACAAATCGGGATCCTTAGTGGCCTCTGCGATGTGTTTGATAAGAGAAATATTAGATCTGTTAGACCTTAATTCATTATTAAACCATTGCACAGGTGCTTTTCCAGTCATTTGTCGTACTTTTTTTAGTGGAAAATACTGTAATATTAAATTGTTATAAGTTTCGGTAAGAAAGACTGTCAAAGAATCAGGATCATTATTAATATCGTAGAAAAAGTCCATGTTTGTAATAGCTAGCGCTCGTTTAAGCTTCTGTAAACCAGAAGAAGTAATAAACCGTTGAAATATTTGATTAGTGTCAATAACTTTATGCTCTGAGTCAATAAATAAAAATTGAGCTCGATGGTCAGAAAAACAAGGTTCAAATACGCCCACTCTATATATATTTTCAGAAAAATTTGTCATAATGTTGTCAATGCAACTTCTGGACTGGGATGTGATTCTAGTATAATCGTTTATAGTTATTTTTAGACCAAAAGATGTTAATAGATTTTGAATATCAAATAGATGGTCAGATTCAATTTTAAAATTTATATTAAAATCTCCAAGTATGATTAGTTTGTCAGCTTTACTAAGCAAGGATGTTATGACATTTTCAAAATTCACCAAAAATAAGTCAGTCACCCTTACCCGATCTGTATACAGTTAAAATATTGGTTTTTATTGAAGTTACATAAATTGCACAAAACTCAGAACTTTGCTCTACATTATATTCATTTAAATTAAGAGAAGAATACATAAGATTTTCTTTTATATAAATTGCAACTCCGCCTTGTTTCTTTTTTACCCTACAAAAGAAATTAGCTAATGAGAATCCGGAGATGTTAATTAATTTTAAATTTTCTTCACTTAGCCAGTGCTCCGAAAAACATATGACGTCATATAATTTTTGATCCGCAAGATAAGCATTGATCATATCGACTTTATTTGAAATACACTGCAAATTAACATGAAACATGCTTACCGTACCCTTTCGAATTTGTTTATTTTGATGAAAGTTTGTAGAAGCTTCTAGGTACTTTTCTAAAGCTTTATCTTTTTATATTTGAAGTAAACAGCATATACATTATACAAACATTGCTTTACCGAAATTTTTTGTTCGATGTTTGACATTTGTGGCTATAATCAGCTTGTATTTTCGTTAAACTCAACCGTAAATTGTTTACGATTGTAATGTTACTAAGGTAAATGAATATTCCGTTGTTGGAGATTTTGGAAGGTGATGATATTTTTTGGTTTTACTAAAATTCCTATTGTTGTTATATATTCAAGTATTTTTATGTCTGGTACTGATGATAGAACAATTCCTTATTCTTTAGATGGTAAATTGAAATTGCTTACGACAATAGAGTAGGTTAATGTTGGAGATCTTGTAGATGAGGTTGGTGTTGATAATGTTGATAATTGTTTGATGACTGCTGTGTTAGTTATTAAGTTGCTATCAATTTTTAAATTTTATTTTCTTCATTTGCAAGTTTTCGACTAAGAGCCGCTACTAATTTTTGACAATTAGTTCGACTCATTGGCTTTTTTAAAAAATAAAAATGGATCATTTGTTTATGTCAATCCGATGTGTCAAATGGTTTTTTATGGATTGAATAAAAACTGTACTTACATTTTTTCTTTTATACCTAGAAAAATACTTTAACTTTATTCCTAGTACAGAACTTGTTTTATTACTTGGCATAAACCAACAAAAACCACTTTTTCTTCGGAGCTGAAATTATTGGCAATAAATCATTCTCAATAAAATATTTTGACAGTTCTCATTACCAACTTTCAAATTAAAAACGCTGATTTTTAATAAAACCTTATGTCACCCATTACCACAGAATAATAAACAATTGTTTATTATTCTGTGCCATTACGGTCAGTCAGATGAGTCACTGATAATTTGTCACTCATATTTATTTTTCAAATTTTTGTCTTCGTTTTCAAGATGATTTTACCTATATTGTATCCATGTATTGCCTGTTCAGTATTCTTTTTAATTGTAACGCTGTTCGATAGATATCTGGCACAATTTCACAGCTATAACAAAAATGTATTCATACCCTAACCCCCACGACAACCTACACCTAGGCCACGTCACCGTCGACAGTATAAATGAACCGTTCTCAGTGTTCTCAGTGTAGTAGTGTCTGGGGGCTCATGAGACTAAGACCTCGGAAGCCCCTAAGAAGACATCAGAAAGGGTGTCAGAAGCTCGGCGCAATGAAAATCAACGCGGTTCAACACTGAATACTGGTGAGTTGAATCCTAATTTTTATAATAGTAATAGTTTTAAGGTTATTTAGCTATAGGACCTAAAGTTTAACATAGATACAAAAGCGCGCGATAATAGCCACAAATCCAACAGTATGCAAACATGTGGTTGAAAATAAAACTGCAGAACATTTATGACAGTTCAAGTATCTGGGCATTACCTTTTGAAATGGCTAATACCTTCCACAAGATTTAAAAAACTTTATCTAAAAGAGTCAGTTAATATGTTGTTTGGAATATCAGTTATCAGACTGATTAGAAAAGTTTACGTAAGAAATGAAAAAAATATTTAAAATTTATTGTTTCTTTGCAAGATAGTAAGGAGAAATTTTTATATTACGTAATAAAAACAGGAAATATTTGATATTCAGTATGAAGCACGTTTAAGTATTGGCCATGGAGAAAGAACAAAAATGGTCAATTTTTTAACTGGCAAATAATAAAATATAACAAGAAGTAGTAACACTTTTTTTAAATTTTGCATACCGTGTCAGCAAAAACTTAGTTCAAAAAGAAAAGACCTTGTTGTAAAACCTATGATATTTTTTAAGTGATACAGAAGTAATACCTCTAGTAACACACAAGTAACTGAAACATATGAAGTACCAAATGAAATTCACAATTCTACATTATCTGTAAATACTATTCCCCCAGTTACGATAGAAACCGATGAAACATATCAAGTACCAAAGGAAACAACAATTCCTGGTATTTTGTAAATCTTCTCCCTCCAGATAACCTAGAAGCTGAAGGAACATTTGAAGATTCAAATGTATTCAACGAAATGTTAAATGAGAATCTTATACCAAATAACGACCTAATAATTTGTGGTGTTTGTGAATCTGAATGTTCGAACGGTTGCGTATGTATCTCGTGCAACTTATTTGTTCATACAGACTGTTGTGCTGAAATTAACGAAAAGTATATCAATTACCTAAGGTGCCTAATATACTACCGAAAACAATCTATTAGCGAAAATAGATTTCAACCAGAAGATAGTTTGCTTCGGCAAACAAAAAAAACGAAACTAAATTTCAATAAGTTATTACCGACTGCAAAAATAGGTGATACCGATATTGATAGAGGCGAACTAATGCAAGAAATATATTAGCCGTTGTTGTGACAGTTAAAGATAACAAGTATTATAAAATTGGGATAGAAAGGGATACACTGCCAAAGCTATTTACAAGAAATCAGTTCAGTGTATCCGGCTCTCCTCATTGCTACCGAAAATGAAAAATCTCTTCGTTAAATTTCGATTACATCTCTACGTAGTCGTCAAGAATATAAAATATGCTCGATAATAGTGTTAAACTCGACATTAACCATACAATATCAATATTATCCATTATCCCATTATCCATTTTCGAACTTTTACCTACACTGTATACATATGTTTAAGAATCTTACCTAGAAAGAGTCGACTGTTTTTCTTCTAATTTTGTAGCAAGTCCATTCATATAGGCATTTGCGTGTCCGTTAGTTCCTATAAAAAACAAAAAAAAAGCTGAGAAAAAAAGTTTGTATTTATATAGCAGATTTCTATTTTCTGGCAGAAAAATATTTTTGAGCTAATAATTAATTACTCTTACAATAAATGTATTAATTTCGGCTATACATTATGTATACAATTACATTATTACTTATTACAATTTAAATATAAATATATGAACTATACATGTATTTTCTTTTCAGACAGGGGGTAAAAATGCAAATCCTTGAACCCTGCTGCCGGCGCCCACGATACCAAGTGGTAAAAAACGCTTCCATACTGTTGCGTTCTGCACATACGATGACCTCAATATAACAAATGGGGTCATCCTGAAGGGGAAGAGAATGTATTATATTTAATCTAGAACTCGCTGGTTTTCTTCTTTCGGATCGAGAATGTATATTGAAATAAAAAAAGAAATGAAAGCCAGCAGACTATATAAAACTCTATATAAAAAAGCAGTGAAATTAAAACATAAATATACATAACCAAACAAAATTATAACTAAAGAAGAATATAAAAAACTTGTACAAACAAATATTAGTTAATATCAAACAACATCAAAAAACAACCATAACTAAAACAAAACAAAGATGTCGATGAATAGGTTTTAAGAACACATTAACAACAAAGAAATTTAAGATTTCGATTGCTATAGTTGAGTATAATTAGAAATAACGCATAAATTGATATTAGACGTTAACGAGTGAAAAATATGCGCAGAGATAATAATAATATACTTAATCCGTGACATAATGAACAAATCTTGTTTATAAAAGTTACACAATATGCAATGAGACATAACATATATGAATTATATTAAACGTAATACAAATATTAATACAAAACATAAAAGAAATAAAATCGGTGTTAACAAAATACAAAAAATATACAATACAGTAAATAAACCGAAACAAATGCAAAATTTACAATTGACAATGTTCAATCGCGATCGCGGCAACAGATGAGCTAATTTTTCTAAGCAAATAAGAAAATCTATAAACCAAGTAACGTACTTGATATACCTATTGCTAATTTGGCAATTGATAAACTTAAACTGTTTTCTAAGAACCATGGAAAGAGAGAACTACATACTCTACTTAGGTTTTGCATACCGTTTTCATATTTCTTGCTTTCCGTATAGACACAAAAGTCATCTGCATATTGTATTATATTGAATGGGATATTGTTTATGTGCTTATTAGGTATATTAGAGGTGTACAGATTAAATAAGATTGGCGATAATACTAAGCCTTATCGTATGCCGTGGTAGTTATGTCGTGGTCCAATTAGCTTGTTATTGCTGATATCTGACTTTCTCTCTTGGGGGAACCTGTAACCCCTACAGAGCGCGTCCCCAGGTGGCGGATAGGGGAATGTCCGACCTGGTTTACCATTAGGCAGGAGGGAAATAAAATACCTCCCGTGGACCAACAGGTAATTCACCGAATGATTGCCGGTATAAACGATCCCACCATTTACTAGCCAACGGCTTCGGGCGGAGGAGCTAATATGTGGAAGGGAACTCTTTTGTCCAGAGATCGAGAAATCGGTCTCGAAGGCGGATGAACTAAGGATGGTCAACGGCGGAAGGATGCAGAAGGCAACGGGGAACCACTGCATTAAAGACTCATAGAGTACCCCTAGTTAAGTTATTATGGTGTATAACAAAAATACTGGAAACCCTACTGATCATGGGAATAGGATACAAAGGTCCGGCAGAGTGAGAAAAACACCAGACTACAAGGCTGACTTGGTCGTAAACATGCAAAATCCATGTACAAGAGCGCAAAAACCAACAACTTTAAGAGTTGCAACGTGGAATGTTAAAAGTTTGTTCTCTGCAGGAAAAATGGATAATGTTGAACAAGAAATGAATAGACTAAACATCGATATTTTAGGAATCAGCGATACCCAATGGCCAGGATCTGGAGAATATTCAACACGAAATGATGGCGTATTTTATTACTCCGGAATCAACAACTACACCCATCGTTAGGGAGTAGGAACCATCATTTCAAAGCAATCAAAAAGTTCTCTGATTTCCTGTACTCCTTATTCAGAGCGCTTAATATTAAAACAAGTTAAAGAAAGACATAACATAATAAATCTTATTCAAGTCTATGCACCAACAGCAGATAAAAATGACAATGAAATAGAACAATTCTACAACGATTTAGAAGAAATACTGAAAACAATTGAAAAACAACACATTAACATAATAATGGGCGATCTTAATGCCAAGGTCGGTCAAGGTAAGGTAGGAGAATAAGTAGGAAAATATGGGCTTGGAAACAGAAATGACAGAGGAGATCGATTAATTCAATTTTGCCAAAGTGAAGACTTCGTAATAACAAATACCTTTTTCAAATTACTCCCTCGACGGTTATATAAATGGACATCTCCACAACATACCAAAGAAAAAATAGTGAGAAATCAAATAGACTACATTATGATAGCAAGGAGGTATCGTAATGCTGTTAAATGTACTAATACGTACCCAGGAGCTGATATAGGCTCAGATCATAGCCCGGTAGTTACTTTGATAGAGACCAAAAAAGATTGGAAGACCACACAGAAAAGCACTAGATTTAAATAAACTTAGAAACAAAAATATACGACAAGAAATAGGAGAAGAAATAAATGAAAACCTCCGTTCAGTGCAGCAACAAATTAACGATACAAATAACGTTAACCAAAAATTTAAAGTACATAAATACAGCTAGACAAAGAGCAGCAAAGAAACATCTTAAAAAAAGGAGTGGATTAAAGAACAGTGTGAAGAAATGAAAACCTCTGAGAAAAAGTACGATGCGTTTAATATACACAAAAAAGTAAAAGAGATAACAGGAAGCATAAAGAAATGCCAAATAGGTGAACTTAACGACAAAGATGAAAATTTTATTGTAGATCTAGAGAATAAAATAAAAAGATGGACAGAACACCTGAATGAATTATTTGAAGACGATAGAAACAACTTAACTCAGATAAGCAATGCAACTGGGCCAGAAATATTGAAAGAAGTAGTTGAATACGCAATAAGAAACGCTAAAGATGGAAAAGCAAATGGACCTGATGAAATTCCTACAGAACTGTTGAAGCTTTTGAATGATAAATTCTTAACCATAATATTACATCTATTCAATACAATATACTTACAGTATGGTATAATACCTCAAGAATGGTTGCTGTCTACGTTTGTCACCATACCGAAGAAAACTAAGGCAATGCAATGTCCAGATCATCAAACAATCTCCTTGATAAGTCACCTGCTTAAAATATTTCTTAGAGTCATCCACAACCGAATCTATCAAAAGTTAGATATCGATATTAACGATAGACAGATGGGATTCAGAAAAGGATTAGGTACAAGAGAAGCTCTCTTTGCCTTAAATGTCCTAACACAGAGATGTCTAGATGTTAACCAAGAGGTGCAAGCCTGCTTTATAGACTTTGAAAAGGCCTTTGACAAAGTACGCCACAATCAACTCAAAGAAATCCTGGAAGGTAAGAACATCGACACCAAAGACACGCAAATAATATTAAATCTGTACTGGAATCAGAGAGCTAATATAAAGGTAGAAGACCAAACATCGGACGAAATAGAAATACGTGGAGGAGTAAGACAGGGTTGTATATTGTCACCGCTTTTGTTTAATATCTACAGCAAATAAATATGCCAAGAAGCTCTCTCACATGCAAACGAAGGGATAATAGTCAATGGAGAGGTTATCAATAACATTCGATATGCTGACGATACTGTGATAATGGCAAGAACAGCAGAATATCTACAACATCTAGTTGAAAGTATGAATGAGATATGTAATAACTACGGCATAAGGATGAACGTCAAAAAAACCAAATATATGATCTTCAGTAAGAATCCAATTCATGACATCAGTATCACAATAAACGGTACCCAACTTGAAAAAGTAAGCGAATACAAATACTTGGGAACCCTCATTAAAGAAACAGGTGACCAAAATCACGAGACAAAAAGACGTATTGAAAGTGCCAAGTCTACCTTTATAAAAATGAAAAAAATATTTTGTAATCGTAATATTAGTATTCATCTACGAACTAGAATGTTAAAATGCTATGTATTCAGTACTTTTCTTTACGGTGTTGAGGCATGGACTCTTAAACAGAGGAATATTAAAAACATTGAAAGCTTTGAGATGTGGTGCTACCGCCGTATACTAAAAATAAGTTGGGTGAATAGAATTACAAATGAAGAGGTAATACGCAGAATAAATAACGATCTAGAAGTTATTATGAATATAAAAAAGGGAAAACTTGAATACTTAGGCCACCTGATGAGAGGACAAAAGTACACGTTTGTACAAAATATAATGCAAGGAAAGATCCAAGGACGCAGAACTCCAGGCCGTAGAAGAATGTCCTGGATGAGAAATGAGTGAATGAGTGGTTTGGCTATACCACTAACGAATTATTCAAAATAGCAGTTAATAAAATTAGAATCGCCATAAGGATATCCAATCTCCGATAGGAGAGGCACTCAAAGAAGAAGAAGACATAGATTACCATATCTGTATAAAAACCGATACTTGTGTTAACGAAAGCAACTGGCATTTGAAACAAATTAACCATTTTGTATTTTAAGATTGACAAAAAAACTGATTCGTATGCTCCTTCAATATCCAAGAATAGTGCTACTTAATGGTTATTCCTAGTTAAGTTATTCTATACAAGTGTTATTAAAGCGTCTAGAGTTCCAAAACCTCTTTTGTAGCCCTAATAGTTTACAGGGAGTAAATTTTCTTTCTGTAACCATTAAACTAATCTCAATTTTATAAGCCTTTCTAGAGTTTTGAATAAGCAAGGCAGTATAGATATGATATATTGATACATATATTGACATATTGATCCAAATATTAAACTATTCGTGTTGAGTTATTGTTCTACAACTTCCATTAACCGTATTCTCAAAACATATACCTTAATTTTGTTTAAATCTCTTATCCTCCTCGAACCCCAGGTATCATATTATATGATACTGTGGTTCAACAATTATTTTTTGCATTCAACGGCAAACGCAGTTATTCTGCCCGCATGATACTATAAACTACAGATAAACCCACGCGCACGCGATCAGTCGTGTGACGTCACTTGGCGACAAATGTCACCAGAATTGTTCTGTGTTGTATGGAGTTTTGTCAGATTTAGTCAAGGTAAGTAGATATTTAAGTATCTACTTAAATATCTACTTCAAAATCTTGAGATTTAGTTTTGTTTTATCGTTTATCTTGTACGTTGACATCGGTTTACTGGGTAAACCATCTTTCCGAAGGAGGTTTACTTAAACCATATCCAGATTTTCTAATTAAATGTAATGAACTATTATATACTATATATACTATAGACCATATTTTTAACAATTTTAAAGGGTCGTTAAAATTAACCAAGAATTATTTAAAATCGCTAATGGATTTAGCTGTGTTCAGATGTAATGTTAGTAAAGGTGTAAATTATATTTTAAAATTGAAAAATTGAATAGATATATTAAAGAAACATCCAAAGTTAAGAAAAAGAAAATATTAAAAATTGTAAAATAAATTGTTAAATAAACTTCTAAATTATTACAGTGTATTTTATTTTATCAGTTGTATTAAATTTTTATTTTAATAAATCAATCCATTGTATATAAATTTCCATTTGCAAAAGGATGTTTAGTTCTTACTTTTTTATATAATTTTAGTTTACATTGCTAGGCTAACAGAGATGTATACATAACATATTTTTAAGATTTAATTGCAGAAATTTTACCTAACATCCCTTAATATTCTAAATATTTAAATAAAAACCCTCTCTTTCCATATATGTTTTACCGACTATGATTATAAAAGGTTGGTGATAAAAGTGACTTTTATCACCAATTGACGTCATGCGCGTCGATGTACAAAATTCGATTGCGAAGTGGGTTTATCTTGGAAGTCTTAGTATCATGTTCTGCCCGTAAGTATCGCCCGTGTTAAACATCTACTATGCGTAGAAAATTGCGCCATGGCATACTTCTCGATTGAAATAAGTTAGTTACACCAGAGAACATACGAACACAGTTCCTAGTTCTCTGGTTACACTTTTGTTATGATTAAGTGTACACCTACATTGGAACCGTATTTCTCCCGATCCGATATCGGGAGACGTCGGCCGACGTCGGATTGAAAATAAAACTCAAAGTATTAAAACGGTTTTTTTTTGTTTTTTGTTTTTATATGATTAGTAATCCTAAATTGTAACATTTTTGATTGACAACAAAAAAATCACTGCAATTCATGTTTGGGCCCGAGGAGGTTATAAACAAATTAATTCGCAACTTTTTACTGAAATTTTTAAGGTTTAATCGTTATAACTAGCAAAAAGAATTATTTTTTTTTAAAACAAACCAATTCTTCCACCAAAACATAGGCTGGGTTTCCCTTTCCTTGCAGGTTTAAATTCAGCTCATTTATTTTCGCTGTGATATCCACCATCAAGTAAAATTTTTGCAACCATTTGTCGTTCTCTAATTCAGGGTGATTGATGTCTTTTTCATTTAGGAATGTATTTTATCATTCAAGCACAAAGCAAAACGTTTCTACACCTTACCTTTGGAAAGCTATCCCACTTTATTATGAACAAGGAGGTTGAAATACTGAGCCTCCATTTCGTTTAAGAATTCTTTAAACTGACGATGGTAGAGTGCTTTTGACAAGATGCTATTAACAATTTTGATCACCAAATTCATGACCTCAACTTTTTCGGCGGGAAATGTTTGGGCACAAAGCGATTCTTGGTGTATTATGCAGTGAAACGTAAGCGAGTATAAGTGACTGAGAGGATCGGTGTCTAATCATCGTTAATGTATTCAGAAGACTTTTTAAACTTTTTTTTGGTAAAATAAATAATATTTGCGTGTGGAACTAAAGAGCCGCAGCTTCACATCCAAATAGCCGCATGCAGCTCGCAAGCCGCAGGTTGCCGACTCCTGGACTAGACTATATCTCAACGACTGATTAAAAAAAGTGGATTTGAGCAAAAAATATACCTTAAAAATTTGATCACTGTATAGAACTGCAAAAAATTGGTGAAGCATATCTTGAAATCGAAAAAATATATTGCAAATAAATGTGTAAGGAGGGGACTAAGTAAAAAGCAAAAAACAGGAAAGCTAAGAAAATTATATAACAGTACAGTAGCTGAACATTTAAAGGGAAAGGGTCTAATATATGTCTAAGTAGACACACATAAACATAAACACACGCACATAAATAAACAATACATAAAATAAATCTTTTACCGACCTTTGATCACCAACGAATCTTCCTGATTTTTAAACAGCATGTCGTTGCTAACTGCACTTATGTATTGACCACACACCACTGAATATAAAAATATTTTAAAACTTATACATTTTCGGAGCACGACAGTATTAAGTGCTTATTATTATTGCAAACAATTACATTCAACTTCGATGTTGTCGTGTTTGTTTATAATCGTCCAATGTCAACTGTAAGGTTAATTTATGATGTAATATATTAGAATACATATTGATATTTAATTGATATTTACCTTAAGGAATAATTTGAGGGTAGGGGTAACGCTTTATTGAGCCACAAGGGTGATTAATGCCGGAAATAGACACTTTTACCAAACAATATATTATGCATGCAATTGGCAACTTATAAAATTAGACTATAATGATTTTGTATCAGAGGTTAATATACTTAAAAGTAATAATTGAAGGCACGAGTGGATGAAGGTGCTATGTTACAAAATAAAGATTCTGAGAAAATTAGGGTTAAAGTTTTTCATTGTAAACTTTTCTCACATTACATCAACAAAAAAAAATTATGTCTCAACACAATTTGAAAAAAACAGAACATAACACCTTTATCCATTGTAAAATTTCAGAGAAATTAAAACAACTACTGTTTTATGAAAGAATAATGTATAAAAGAAAAATTTATCTTAGCAGCTAACAAAATATTGTTACTTAATATAAGTTAATAACAGTAATATAAGGTAATCTTCTTCTTTCTTCTTCACTGGCTTTACAACTTGGGGTGAGTCTTCGTCACATCTACTATCGCCCTCCATCCTCTACGATCTTGCGCTTCTATTTTCCATTGTTGTACCCCAATTCTAGATAAATCGGCTTCAACATCATCCTTCGCACTTTTTCTCGGTCGACCTACTGATGTTCTACCATCTGGTCTTTCAAAAAACACTGTCATCCTCTGATCGTACCACGTGACCTGCCCATCTTGTTCGGTTTGCCATGATATGTCTAACTATGTTTTCAGTTCCATAGAGAGTTACCAATTCAGCATTGGGGCGTCTTCTCCAATCCCCTGTGAATTCATCTCTTTGAGGGCCAAATATTATTCGAGAACTTTTCTCTTAAATACTAGAACCTTATCGATTTCCCGCTGGTGAGAGTCCATGTTTCACTGCCATATGTAATAATTGGGTGAATAATCTACTTGTACAGTGTTAATATAGATTTTCTTTTTAGCAGCTTCGATCTTAATAATGTTGAAAGGGACTCTTTCCCGTAGCTTTCCTTGCTGAGACCTCTTTTTCTATGTGGTTCTCAGCTGTGATTATCGCTCACAGGTATTTAAACTCCTTTACTACTTCGAAGTTGTGATCATTAATACTGATGTTCTGCCTAACTTTGGGTCTTGGATTTTTGGTTACTACCATGTATTTTTTCTTTTCTTCATTGACTCGGAGACCCAGACTACCTGTTTCATCCTCAAGCTGTGAAAACACCTCTCTCACGACTCTTGTAGAAGGCGTGACTGTATCTATATCAGCAGCAAAGACCAGCAACAGTTTTGATCATTGATCAGCAAATCCTCCTGTTAGCTCAGACGATATTTTACTTATTGTATATTCTAAAGCAAAATTGAACAGCAATGGTGACAAGGGTTTTCCCTGCCCAAGTTCCGAATTTATACCAAATGACCTCGATGTTCTGCTTCCTTTCTATACATGCGCATATGAGTCTGTCACATCTGGCATACTTGCGTTAATTTAACAATTTTCTTGGTATTCCCATTTCTAACATTTCTATCCACAATTTGCTTTTTTTTATGGAATCATATACTTGCTATATGAATCTATCAAAATTTGGTGCACATCGCGGTTGAATTCCCAGTTTTTCTTTAATATTTGTCGAATGGTAAATATCTGATCTATAGTTGACCTTCCAGCGCGAAAGCCGCATTTGTAGTCGCCTATAATATCTTCCGAATATGGTGTGAGTCTCTTGAGAAAGATAATTGATAGCACATTATATGGTGTGCTAATAACCGATATGCCTCTATAGTTTCGGAATTGTTTTTTATTTCATTTCTTATATAGGCTATTCCACGAATATACGACTGTTTTGCTTTACTGCGACAACGAATATTTTACTGTGCAAGTAGAAGTATGAAGGTCAATTGGTCTAATCATTATTCCAATAAAAAGGGTCTACTAGTATGACATCTAAACTAAAATTATTTCAGTGAAAATCTACAAATAAATACAATGACGTCTATGAAGCCAAATGTGTTCATCAGACATTTGGGCAAGCTTTCCGTGAAATGTAAACATCAAAGAGGCGTGCCGGGTTTCTTTGATATAACACATTGTATTACTTTATTAGGTATTACAACTGTAATAAAAAGAAATATACTATTTTTAATATAAATGCAAAGAAATTGGCAGAACGATGGTTCAGAAACCAGAAAAAGGATCTAATATTTCACTTTGTTAGTTTTAAATATTTGTTTGCTTTGAGTTTATGTACTCTTAAAAGTTCCGAAAGTAACGGGTATAACATACCGGCTATTGATAGTTAAAGTACCGAATCGTTACAGATATTAAAAAGTAACGAAAATTTATATACAGTTTCATATATCGCCGACTGATTATGGCTGTAAATCTGGTCGTTGATGATAGTTTTAGAAGATTAAGAAAATGAGTGAATAAGTAAGTTTTTTTGTTTTTTTAATATTAATTGAATATTCGACTAAAAAATTTACACTATTTGATCACTTAAGTATTGTTACATTTCGTTTAAATCACATAATTCAAAAACCAACTTGTTTACAATGAAATAATTGAAATGAAAAAATAAACTCCATGATAGTAATTATCGAGGGGTTCGAGCGAAAACCCGATAACTAACAAAATCATTGTTCGGAGATAATCGCGATTAAAGATTTTCGTAACATTGAAGAGGCTTTAAAATCGTGATAGGAAGTTGTTTCAAATATTTGTTAAAGCCAAACAGTAGAGAATTTAATGTTTAGTTAGAATAATTTATTTTTAGTTTAACTTATTAAAAGGTAGTTACAAAAAAAATAAAACATGATATTTATCGGGTTTTTCCTCGCTGTATGAGTACAACATTTGATTTTATTGGTTTTAATTTTTAATTTTGTCAATTATAAAATAAAAATGAACTGTATTTTATTTAAATAAAAGAAATAATAATCTACATTCTTTTTAGGAAATTAAAAGGTAATATCTTCTTCTGCCGATTCTTCTCTATTTTGTACGACCCACAACAGCAGTACGGCTATAAATTGATTACGGTTTTGTCCGTCACAAGTATCTGAAAAATTTGCTACATGCTTAACATCAGGTCTTAAGCATTCACTTAAATAGTAATGCATACAAGTTCCGATTTCAGAACTGCCCTTTTTGCCATTGATTTCATTCCAGCACAAGCAATATGCGTTATTGGGTGGCGGTGATTCCCAAATAGTAAGAGTGTATACTACCAATTTTCTACGATAGTATAATTGACTAATAGATCCTTTGGGTATTTGTAAAATTGCTTGTAAATCCAATGTTACAGACATAAATGTCTTATCTTTATTTGCTTTGTCTTTATCTATTCTTTCATATGGGGATATACACAGCGTTTTTATAAAAAACTTTTGGCACACTGGAATCCGTTCGTTGTAAGCTAGTGGAAAGAAACATTTCTTTTTAAAAGAAATAATAAATAAGACTTACAATCAATTTAATTTAACTATCTAGACGACCGGTTTCGCTTTCTACAATATGCAAAGCATCTTCAGGTCTCGATACAAAGTTAAATTAATGCTGAAAATAATAAAACCCATATTAGGGTGTTGTCTAATAAAGATAAACAAAGATAGATGATATAAATTACAGTAATTATGCCAATTTTACATGTCTGTGGTTTTTCAAAATGAATAAAATGTTTAAGCAGACAAGGTAAGACCCACAAATTGGTATAAAATAGTCTATTAAATTGTAATAAATTAATAAATGAACAAATAAATAAAACATTACTTACATGCCGGTACTCAATTAATTTATGGTTGGAAGAACATGGTTCAAACTGTCCTGTATTGTTGAATGGAGAACTTAAGTCTGCTATCGTAATTGTTTGACAATAAACGGGGAAGTTATTGAGGGGATAGATTTTATCCAATGAAGTAGTGATAGGTGATTCTTTGTTAGATGAAAGTGATGTTCTATAACATTGGGTTATTTAAAAGTTATTTATATTTATTCAAGAGATATATTTATGAAATGTGTGTTATTTATTGAGATTTTATTTTATAAAGGTGATAGTTTTATGACAATGAATGTGATTAGATGTACAAATTGTGTACACAATATTTTATACCAATTTGTGGGTCTTACCTGGTCTGCTTAAACATTTTATTCATTTTGAAAAACCACAGACATGTAAAATTGGCATAATTACTGTAATTTATATTATCTATCTTTGTTTATCTTTATTAGACAACACCCTAATATGGGTTTTATTATTTTCAGCATTTATTTAACTTTGTATCGAGACCTGAAGATGCTTTGCATATTGTAGAAAGCGAAACCGGTCGTCTAGATAGTTAAATTAAATTGATTTGAATTAAATTGATTGATGAAATAGTGAAATGAAACAACCATGAACTAAATAATATTCATACAGCGTCAACTTCACGTGTTTCTTCAGCTGAGAAGTTTACACTGGAAGCAGTCAGACTTTTCCCCAGAGCCCCGCCTAGAAAAAAGGAAATACAGGAAAAAGAAAAGAAAATCGGCCATATACACAGACACCCCTGAAAAGGAAGAAATTAAGGCAGAATATGAAGGGAAGAAGAAAAAAAGTGTTTTCTGACTCGGAACTAAAACCAAAAAAATAAAAAAAAAGAAATCATTTAAAAAACAACAACAAGAGAGTGATGAAGAAGATGAAGAGTGTTTTTGCCTGGTATGAGGAGAACCATATGGATCAAGTAAGCCAGGGAAAGGTTGGGTTCAATACATTGAATGTAAACGTTGGCCACATGTAGAATGCACAAACCAAGAAGGTTTATGCGTTTGCTATAAT